AAAAAGTTTGTAACAATACTGACGTTCCGTAATTTTATATTGAATTATCCCTCAGGTGCAGAACACCTTGTTATCCTTCCAAGAGCTTGCTGCATCATTTTCAGAAGAAGTTAGGAAAGGTAACCATCTAATATGAGTCTATCATTGATATGATTATTGGATAACGTATAGCTCCAGAAAATATCCATATCCCTCCCACAGAGGAATAATTTTTTTATAAGACCCCCTACCCCCAGAAATTCCAATTTTCTTCCATACAAACTCTGTAATTTGGTTCTTTCTCTGACCCTACTACCCCTTGGAAATTCCAAATTCCTCTGGGGGGGGGGAGGGGGGTATGGTTAACTTCTTTAATTACACAATAAAATTTTATATATAAATAAATATTACATTGATGTCTAATGTGCCATTACCTTTATGTGTCATACAGGTGCAGATTTTTGCATTCCTTTGGAACCCACAGATACATTAGGAAAACTTCTAGACATGGATGCATATAAACAGGTATGATTATATAAAATAGCTAATTTGCCATTAGTGGGATTCAACCCTGTGGTATGATAACTATGCATAGAAGAGAGTGGCTCTGGGACTGTAAATTTCATAATAGCTGACCTAATCAATCTTGGTGCAATGTTTACCCATTTCAGACCACATGTCATTCCCTTGAGAATAGGATTCTTTGTTTGAGCTGTATTAATATTCATGTGTCTTCTCATACGTAACCTTTAAACAAAGAAATGATACTCTAGGGAATGACACATAGTTTGTAATGGGAAAACATTACGAACTAGGTACATTTACAGACTTTTCTTAAGAAAAATAAAATTATCCAAATACTCAATAATTAACTCTATTCACATATCATACTACTGTAAGTCTGGGAATCCAGCCTGGGCTGCGTTAGTGAGAGAGAGGAGAGGTACTCCCACCTCAACTATGATGCCAACCATCTTTTCTTTGTCGATGTTTGCCTCTCCATTTCCTAATAATTCTTTCCTAATTTCCATAGTACATGAAACCTTATGCTGGGAACATATCAACTAAAGCCTTTGATTTATTCATGAATCACCTCTCAGCTTCTGCCAAGGAATACAGAGCTGCTAGCCTAAGACAGGCTTTACAGTAAGTAAATAGCAAAGCACAAATCCCTTTCAATCTGGTACAAGGGACTCTTCATGGTTTGGGAGTGTGGAGCATTGCAGGCTTTCACTCAGCTGATAAAAAACTGTGAATCTCATTATGTGTTCCAAATGGTGGTGAAACACTGACCACCATGTGCTGTCAACCAAAAAGAATTTTATTGAAAACTTGTGATTCAGCTGATGAACATTCCGCACGAGACAGCAAATGACATCAAGTGAAACCCAGCAATTGGCAACTGGGCCCTGACATAGGGGGGACAGGGATTATGGTAAATTAAATCCAAAATACTTTGAATCACTCTGCCACCACTAAGGACTGAAAAAAATTATTTACTTGAATTCTGCACCTATGGCAAAAAAAAATTAACTGTTCTAATGTTTAATAAATGTTTTTTCAGAATGATGCTACAAAACTTATTCCTTGCCTGTGACGTGAACAGAGTGAGTAACCCTCTCTTCCTTTTTCCATTATTTAAAGAACAATCAAAGCTAAATGAAATTTTCTTTGGCTGTTCTTCTTGAAGGTTGGTGAGCTAGATCGCAAAAGAGTGTTGCAGTTACTCGGTACCTTTTATGATAAAGCTGCAGGGAGTGATCGAAAGATTCTTAGAAACCCAAGACAATGTAAGTAGTAAAGATGCTCTGTTTTTAAGTTACTTGTTACAGTTGACTCTCTAGCTCGGAAGTGTGTTTTTATATTGCTTAGGTGAATACAATGTAATTTGCTTTGCATTGCAGGGCCTGTAATTGAAGTTGAGGAAACTAGTAGTGATGATGGATCTATTAGTGAAGAAGACGAAGAGGAACCAGCACCAAGAGAAGAAAAGCAAAGCAAACCGCCAGAAGAAGAAAAACCAAAACCAGCTGAAGAAGAAACAGTTACAGAACAGGGAAAAGAAAAGGATGCCGAGAAAGAAGAGGCACAACAGGGTCCTGAAGATAAGAAGGAATCTGAAAAACCCGATGAGATGTCAACTGCGCAAGAAGACCAAGAGAAACAACCTGAGAAACAACCTGATAAAGATTCAGAGAAAGATCCAGAGAAAGATGCAGGGAAAGAACCTGAAAAACAAAACGAACAACCAGGAGGAGAAGAGATAGAAAAGGATGAGAAGAAGGATGAGATGAAAGATGAAACAAAAGAGCAGAAAAAAGATGACGCGGATTTGAGTGAAGAAGACAAGAAGCTCTTGAACTCTATTCCAGAAGAATGTAAGTCATTTTAGGATTTTGTTGTTTTTTCGTTGTTTATTGTTGCTGCTGTTGGTGGTGGTTGTGGTGAAGCTGGCTACTTTCGTTTTTGCTGTCGTGTTCCTCGTTTATTGTGGCTGGTGTTGTTGTTATTTTAACGTTGTTTCTGTTGATGCTACTGTCATGATTGTTTCTGTGAAGTAAATATGTAAATGTAATAATATAATATGTATAGAGGTCTTGAAAAGATTTCTATTTTTTTTTTTTTTTTTTTTTGAAAGCGGTTCAGACTTCGGACACTTAACGTATCGAATAACGGACTGACTTCCTAAGCTTTCTCACTATGCAGAAGTCCATCTTATTATAATTTTTTGACACGATGGGATTCGTTCCTAAAACCTTTGAGGTGGCCATCTGTGATTTTGAATCAGATTCGACAACTGAATATTTCAGGATATCAACTTATTTTTTACTTACTCTTCTATCAGTTAATTCATCAGAAGGTACAGAATCAGAGACAACAGTCAGCGGTGTCTATAAACCGGACACTCAATCCATCGTGGAAGGTTCAGCGTTCGATGAAAACTCTTTAAACCAATCACAATTCATTCACCTCACAGAGAAGTTTCTCGGTGATGAACCAAACAGGTAAGCAATGGACCCGGGGGGGAGGGGGGTACTCTTGCCCGTTTAGGGTATGGATGTGCCGCTGAGCCCTCTGAACCCTGACCCTTTTCAAGAGTAAAAATCGCTGAAAACCATACCCTGTTCCAGAGCAAGATCGCTGAAAACCCTGTTCCAGAGAGGAGAGAGCGTGATTTCATATACCCTGTTTCAGAGTAGAATCGCTGAAAACCATACCCTGTTCCAAAGCAAGATCGCTGAAAACCCTGTTCCAGAGAGGAGAGAGCGCAATTTTATATACCCTGTTCCAGAGTAGAATCGCTGAAAACCATACTCGTTTGGCGGCACGTACCCGTGAGCGAATATAAGGGAGTACCACCCCCTCCCCCCCGAGGCAATGGAATATAACTGGGGGTAGATTACGTAAAATTATAAATTCAAATTCGTTATTAATTGGATGTTTTCATCTTGAATTCACTGTTTGGTTTATTCTGTAGGCAACTCCTGGAAAAACTGGTCCGTTTTATTCGCTCTCATTACATTGAGGTTGACTACGATAGACTTGAACGAATAAACAAGGTATATGTGCATGTGTGATGTGATGAGAGTGCGATGGTTGTGATTATTATGATATGATGATCGTGTGCATGATGATGATGATGATGTGTTGATGATGATGTGTTGATGATGATGTGTTGATGATGATGTGTTGATGATGATGTGTTGATGATGATGTGTTGATGATGATGTGTTGATGATGGTCCATGCGCAGAATAGCAATGATGATGGTATGGGGTGATCGTGCGCATGATGATGATGATTATGTACATAATGATGATGATCAGATAAAGAGAGTGTAAAGATGGTGCGCATAATGATAATGATGTGTTGATGATGGTCTATGAGCAGAATGACTATGATGATGGTATGGGGTGATCGTGCGCATGATGATGATGATTATGTACATAAAGTGTAAAGATGGTGCGCATAATGATAATGATGCGTTGATGATGGTCTATGAGCAGAATGACTATGATGATGATATGGGGTGCTCATGATGATGGCGATTTTATAATTGTTCGCATAGTGATGCGCATAACTATGGTTGCGTATAATTATGATGATGATGATAGTGATGGTACGCGTAATGATTGTGTAAAAACGATGCTGTGCATTATGGTCATAATTATAATGTGATGTTGCAATAACGATAACAGTAACTTTTGCGTTATTGATGATAACAATAATATTAATTGCTCATTTCTTTTCCAGGCACGCAAGGATGCTTACTCGGCCAAAAAACGAAAGATGGTTGATCAGCTGTTTGAATTATGGGATGTCGACATGTCGGGTTTTATTGAAGTCGAGAAGATCCAAGTCGTGCTGAGCAAATGGTCCAGTGACAATCCCAACTCTTTCCCAGAAGGTTGATCATTTGTTCTTTCTTACCTTTTCTAAAAGTCCTGCTTATCTTGAGCTAAACGCCAATGAGGCCTGAGACCAGTCTATTCTCTCAAGATTGAGCAAATCTCACTGTGCGCACGTGCCGTACCATGCCGTGACCTTAACACAATTTGCGCCGTTTAAAAGGCGTGCGAAATCTGTTGTTAAAAAAGTAATAGAACCACGAAAAACCAGAGAAAAAGCGCTCTGAAACCAAGAGTATCTTTCTCTTCTTTATCAGTTAGAATTCTGTGATTTGAGAGTAGCATTTCCACTTTGTCTTATATTTTCGTTTCTAATCTATCCTAGCATCCTAAAAGGGTTGCTCTGAAATACTGTTGCAGCTTCGATTGTGATAATAATTATGTCATAAGTCATTACGCTGTTTCTTTTCCGCAGCTTACAAAATCCTTAGCGAAGTCACATCGAAATTGGACCGCTTGGAGTTTCGTGAATGTATCAAGACCATTGAGTTTCCAGATGAAGAGAGTTCATTCGAAGAATTAATGCAGTTTCTAATGGCGTGCGTCGAGGTAAATTTGACAGCAATGATGGGTCTATTGCGAATTTCATTTGACTGAAAGAATGTTTTTTACCATATCGTACTATAATGATGAGCATTTTGTTTAAATAAGCAGTGCCCGTGACCGTGTATCGTACTCATACGTCTTTCCACCCCTTTTTACAATTTTTCTTTTTGAGCCCAGGCCAGTTTTAAAAATAATAACATTTATTTTTTCACAGCGGTCGTTCGAGGAACGAAGACGTAGCGAGACGCGCAAGCGTTGGCTTGGAGCAATCGACGTCGCCGCACAGACAAGCGGCGCAAACCTGGACCCCGTCTACAACGCGATATTCCAAATCCTTTACAAAGACGCCGAAGAACATGGACGCGGGAAAACGATTAGCGCGTTTGTTAGCATGCTCGAGAATAATGAAGACATGGAGACGATTTCTCGTGGAGAGACTGTGCTGAGATATGTTGCGTGTACTCAAGAAGACATTGGGTGCATGCTGGGTAAGGTTATATTTAGAAACATGAAGGCTGTTAGCTGGGCTGCTGTGGATACTGGCAAGCCGATTCACGTGCCTAAGGTCGGCAGTCATGGAGGTGTGCAGTTTTGGAATCCTTCCAGGAAACCGGAGGTGAGCTCTAGTTGGGGCATGAATTTCTTCCTTCCCTACAATATCCCTCACTACACTTCTCTTCTCTTCTCTTCTCTTCTCTTCTCTTCTCTAATATACTTCACTGCCAGTATCAAGTGTGCACCAATATTGATATTAATACTATTATACAATTGTCTTGCCTACTGATTTAGAGTACCGATGGATCATTCATAGTGCTACCAGTCAAGGATTCCGAGAAGCGTGTCATTGGTTTGCTAGGGATAGATACACTGAATGATTCTCACAAAGCAACGTTTATCACCCATGAGATATCATTCTTCCAGGTAAGAAAAATAAATAAAGTTAGGTAAAGTGTCCATGCTTAACGTCGGCTAGTCCCCTTAATGGATGCGAAATCCCATCAGTGGAGACCGACGATGCGGACTATACGCCCTCTCAATCAGTGCTCTTTAAGGGTGTTTCAAGCCTAAACTACACAAGTTAATACTAAAAATAATTGAGTAAGATCAGAGATGTGCTACAAATTAAGCTCTTTCTTTCTACCCAAGCGTGCACTCACAAATTTCTCCATTCTTCATCACACGGCACCGGCATGAGAATTAAAACCTTTGCTTTACCCCGCGCAACCTCATTCTGAAGCGCGTGAATGCGAGGCTACAAGGGGGAAAACGACTCGTTGCAGTCAACATGGCTGCCACGTGAAAAAGGTCTACACTTGACAAGTTCAAATATTCTTTGTGCTTGATATCCAGGGAGTCGCGAAAGCATTAGGTCAAGCCATTCAGTTCATCGATGTGCGTAAGAAGACCTTACGAGTTGCTGAATCTGCCGTCCAGTGGATCCTCAGAAGGAGCCAGAACGTGCTGAATGTTAACGTCTACCTCGTTGAACCAGGATTAAGGGTAATTTTAACTTATCATAAAGTATATGTTTCAAAGAATGTCTCGGGGAGGACATGCACTTCGAAAGGCATGGGCTGCGACAGGAGGGAAAGAAATGGAGCCCCTTTTCCTCGATCTCTTTTATTCTTCATTTCCGCGCGCAACAGCGTCGAATACTTATACTCTTATTTGATGTGCCAAAATAGGACCTTGATTAATAGTGCAACGAAGTATTTGAGTAGAGGAAAGGGGTCCCCTTCCTTCTCCTTCTCTTTCTCCTTCTTATTCAAGGCGCTCTGTGTGCCGAAACGGCTGGCTATTGTCAGTCAAATGCTTCTTCTTCTACCCTGGCACCATAAAGATGTTGCATAGCGACGCATCAAAATATTTGGGCTTAGCAGCTTTCCTTTTGGTTGCTTTTGCGCCAAAGCCCTGGCAATTGTTAGTCAAATGTCGATACTTCTGTGTTGCAAAAGGTTTATAACATCCTGCATTGCGACGCAGCGAGAGATTTGAGCTTGGTTGCTTCTCAATTTACTTTCTTTTTGTTCTTTATACCCATAGCCCTGGCTATTATCAGTCAAATGTCGATACCTCGGCACTGTCCGGGTTTATAAGGTCCCTCATACTTGTATTAAAGGATTACATGTCTTGGTTTACTTACAAGTGTTCTTTTTCTTGCAGTCCACTGATGGCTTGGTTCTTCGTCGTATGATGCTAATGAGCCACAACACTTTAACACAAAGATTTAACAATCCTCCACGACTGGAGAGGAAGGATAATCTTTTTAGGTAAACACTTGTTATCTTATGACATGCAGTGATATGCATGCAGTATTATACCCGTTTCAAGGTTTTCCTATAGACCTCTCTATTAGCTTGGATGTAATGTTTGCCCGTTTTAGACCACGCGTCGTTCCCTAGAGTATCATTTCTTTTTGTATAACGATTACACATGAGAAGACAATTAAATATGAATACAACTCAAATAAAGATTCTTGTTTTCAAGAGAATGCGTGACACGTGGTCTAAAATTGGAAAACATTACGCCCAAGCAAGGTAAAAGGGTCTATAGCAGCGTGTGAGTTAGCTATGCCCTGAATTTGATCAACCTGGATGTGTTCATATTTTTACAAACTGATACGTTACAGATGTGTCGTGATGGTGCGGCGTGATGATAGCTTGACTCAATTACAAATACCTGACCATTATTTTCTTATGAAATTTTATTCATATTCTTCAGGGATTACTTGTTCAAGTGCGTGGAAAGCTCCGAAACCATAACCGCAGATGCATATGGAGAACGTCACATGGCATTCCCGTTGCGTGACGCTGAAGGTCGAGCTGTTGCTGTCGTGGACATCAGTATCGGTACCTTAAAAGCGCTACCACCTCATGAAAATAAAGAGATACAACGCATGCTCCGACTGCTGGCCATGGCGCACCGGGAGGTAGCTCGTGAAGTGGCGGGCATCGAGAAGAATATAGTTTTAGGTTAGTGATATTGTAGTTTAATATTTAGCAACCAGTCATAGTATCAATTAGGGCGGATTTCGACACGGCACGGTAACGGAGCGAAATATCCAATTACAGTTTGCGAACTTTGCGTTTATCCAATCATAATTGAATGTTTCTTTGTAGAGGTGGAAAAAGAACACGAAGAGGCGAGGATTGACGTTCTGTTCGATCGGTTGATGTTACTTGATCTGAGAGAAAATGTTGGCAGACTGGATGCCAGGTAAAGCGTGATGTTACTAATTGTTTCCTTTAACGTTTTCTTTCCATTATTTACACCCTTCCTATAACTTCATATTTTAATTTTATCTCTCATTCTTGCTATGTTTCTAATGCTTTTCCCCTCCAGGGCTTTTGCTGAGATCAAGAGCTATAAAGACCCCCCCAAGGTCATCCACGACATCCTGAAAGCAGTTCTTGGTATTTTCTACACTGATCCCGAGTTGCAAGAACGGTTCGAGGAATGGACGACATGTAAGCAATACATCAACCAGGACCTCGTGAAGAACTTGACATTGTACGATCCAACAGCTAAAGAACACATCGTCAAAGTCGATGCTAAGACGCTTGCTAGAATATTACAAGGTAATATTCAATAGCTGTTAAAAATCTCACGTTCTGATTGGTTGCGGCGCGTGCTTTATGAGAACATGCAGCACGTGCAGGCACTTTCTATCCTTCCCTTTTAGTTCGCAAGAACTAATTATATTTTTGCGTTTCTTATGTTTTTATTAGATGTACCACAAGGAGCAGTGGCCAAGCATGGATCGTTACCTGCTCAGTACTTGTTCAACTGGGCTTTCGTCTGCTTATCCTTAATTGAACACACTGACAAAATGACAGAAACACGGCCAGGAAAAGTCATCAGTCCGCATGCTACCAGTTCATTGATGGTAGACCACGGCAAGGGACGAAGAGATTCGCCAACCGAAACCATCAACACTGTGAGTAAGACGGGGACAGGATACGGTGTGGAATCGTAGACTGCATTCATTGGCACCATTCCTTGATCCAATCACAACGCGTTGAGTTTTGATCCATTTTGGAGCCATCACAGTCACGGTACTGAGGGCACATTCGTACCAATTACTTTTCTTCCACGATACAAAATCTGTAAATAAGCTATAAAAAACCCATAATAAACATGAGCCGAACCTAATGACGTCAAAGACGACCGCGTTGTTATCCATAGGTTAGGCTCATGTGGAATTCCAGCTAAGAGATCCGCAAATAAAGATTTTTTCAGGGTTGCGCACCCGCATAGCTACTGATCCCGACTCAGAATGTTGAACGAGCCACGATGCTAAAGACAATATTTTTGGACGAAATTCAGCGATGTTTTCATGCCTTTTAAAGAAGACAGTCCGATTGTGGTTTTTATAATATATTTTTGTATCTGACTGAATAGAGTCTCGTGGACGATAATCAGTCCTTGAAACTTGAATGGGCCATGATGCCACTGCAATGACTTAAATAGTGGTCAACAAATTGTTAATAGCATAATTTTAAAAAACTACAGTCTTTTTAGTGTTGCTATAGTGTTTAAAATATAGTTTTGTATTTAATAAAGTTTGGGCCGAACACAATACATCAGTTGTGCATAAAATGTAAAGAAATTTAGTTTCAATAAAATTAAACTTTGTACTTTAACCTCAATGCAGTCTAATGTTATTTGTCTTACATTTGTTTATAAGGCACATAGGGGCTTAACTCGCACTTAATTTTAAAATGTCCTCAAAAACAAGCAAAGTCATGATTTCACTTGCACAGCTAGCCCTCCCCGCTGCTTGCTATTTTCTTTTTCTCAGTTTGGGTTACCTGTGTGGCTATGACAATAAGGGTGCGTAGTAGTAGTTGTCGCCAAGGTCATCATATGTTTTCAGTGGGGATTTTCTTATAATTATCCCTGGCATATAAAACATTGACCTATGGATATTCAGAAAGCTTTTTCTCAGATACTCCTAACTTGTTTTACACGAATTTATCCAATCTAAACTAATAGTGGTATTACATGACATCGAATCGTCCATCTAACTGTCCAGCTTCAAAATGGCGAACAAATTGAAGGACAGAATTTATGGAACTCTTCGCAGTATCGTGTATCCAAAAGGATCTACAACCTTAAAATGGAAAGAATTACTTATTCTGTTCTTTGCTTTGGTGAGTATATCTCTTAAACGACGCTTTTGACATCTAAAAGTGTTTAGAATGACGATCTTGAAACGTTACAACCTAGGTAGGTTATATTCGTATTTATTAATCAACAACCCGCGTTTACATGATTAATGAACATGAACAACAATAATTAAAGTTGGCATGTTTTTTTCCCTCCAAATTTCATAAATTTTCATGTGATACTGTTCCCTAGATGTTGCATCACACACCACAGGAAGCCCAAAAATGAGTCTAGACGTTTCAGTGATTTTTGAAAATATATTATTTTTTATATCTTTTTTGTTGATAGATGTCCACTGCCATGTCTGTTACAATGCTGTTTCCATTCCTTCCAGCTATGGTCAAGGTATAAGTATTATTGGAATTTAAAAGTTAATTTTTGCAGGAAAGAAAAGAAAACTAAGAAGAGAATCCAGGAATCGCATCTGAACCCTGGTCGCCGTGAGGCATCACTGATATGCCGCTTGTCCTTCAATCCTGGCCTGTGCATGTAGCAATTTTTATAGCTGGCAGAACAATAAATTTCCTTTACTTTTGGGAACTGAATTCTTTATCATGTAAAATGATCATATTGTTCCAGCCATCCAACATGGTGTTGTGTGAGGATATAAACCTCTATATGGTAATATGTTATACCAACATGTAGACTAATGATTTTAAAGTAACACTTTTTCATTTTGCTTTTTAGCATTTTGGAAAGACAGAGGAAGAAACAGGTATCTAACTTCATAATTAATAATCCTATCACATAGTGCTGTCAGCTACCAAACTAATGGGCTGTTTTACAAAGAAAAGGCACAATTAATCAATTATTATTATTCTTTTTGCATTTAGGTTATTATGCAGGTCTTATCGCTTCTGCTATGTTTTTTGGAAGATTTTTAGCAAGGTAATATAATTATTGTCTAGTTATTGATTAATATTAACCATTTATTATATATCACATATTTATTGGCAATCAAGGGTGACATAGTGGTAGTGTGCTCTCCTCTTACCTCTGGGGTCGAAGGTCCAATTCCTGGACTCTGCATCACATTTGGGACAGTTTTTTAGGTCTCTCCATGATTTGAGGGTTTTGTGACCTCTTCAAATTAAAACAAACTAAATTCCAATTGATCTAAGAGCTAGCCATGATATGATCAGTCAATAGTTGTTGTCACGAAACAATTAAATTGAAGGATTGTATCATAATTTTATATAATAATGGATTATCCAATATTAACTTTTGTTATTATTTCAATTATTATCCTTATATAGCTATTTCTGGGGATATTTGGCAGACAAGTTTGGCCGCCGTCCAATACTCATCATCAGCTTGTTTCTGCTCAGTGTGAGCATGTTTGCTTTTGGGTTTAGTACATCTGTTGTCATGGCAATGCTTACAAGATTTGGTGTTGGATTGTCTATGGGTAGGTGGTGCCGTACTGTGTTGAAATTTATTCATGTTGGAAATGAGAAAAGAGTATGTACAGACAAAAATACAAAGTATTTACTGTAGTTGTTCTTATTTAGGACTTATTGGTATTGCTAAAGCAATCATATCTGAACTGTGTGACCATACTAATCAAGTAAGTTTTTTTCAAAAAACAAATAGAAATTTAATTAATCTATACAGTATTACATGTACACTTTATTTTTCCAGGACAGCCAGGGAAGCCAGGGTTGATTGACATATTAACAGATGACATGTTACAGCTTTTTTGATATATATACTGTAAAATATTTTCACATATATTTTTCTATGCAGACATTTTTTATGGTCTTCATGCAAATGTTTGTCTACCAATAACATGATGACCCTAAAGGCAAACTCACATGTTTATTTTTTTTATTTTTTAAGTCTCTTGGGATGTCCACATTAACAAGTGCATATTCACTTGGATTAGTCTTTGGTCCTGCTCTTGGAGGTGAGAATTCTGGTGGCCCTTGCTAATAAATTATTGATTCCTGTATTGCTTTCAATTTACCTGGAAAAACCGGAAATTCCAGTTGGAAAACAAATGGTATTTGTCAATCCAATTGAAAAGTTCTGGAAAACTCGGTCTTCGAATTTGAGGCAATCCATTTTTCCTGGCTCTTATTGGTCCCTTTTTGGTTCTTCCGGTAGACACATGTATCTTTGGTAGAAATTCAATGTTTCCCGCTCTTTCCTTACCATTAGCAAATAAATTTCAAACTGGATGGATTGGTTTAAATAGTAAGCACCCCTGACGTATCCTAGACTAATATTACAGTACCTTACTTCTACTACTGCCTTAATTCATCTCTGGCAAAAAGCAAAAAGTGTTTTCCTAGATTAAAAGGAATCTCCAATTAACGCAGGAATTCTCTTTCTTTACTCAGGTTTTCTATCAGAAGTAGGAAGAAAATACCCTCATCAGTTTCCAAAAGGTAAGAATACTGTACAACAGCCATAACAAAGGACATGGATTTTTTTTAAAAATTTAATAGCCATATTACGGGCCTATTGTAGGCTGGTGGTGAAGGGGTGATGGGCGTGAATGGACCCTCTTTCCTTTATATGCCTTAACCTATAAAAGCCAAAAGCTTAGTAAGAGCATCAGTCTGTCGTGCGGGAGGTCGTGGTTTAAGCCGCAGCTGGACCAACACTCAGGGTCTCAAAATAACTAAGGAGAAGGTGGTGCTGCCTTTGTAATTACATCTGCAAATGGTAAGACCTTCACGGGGCTCTAGTGTCCACTTTAATGGCAGTCCCATCCCTAATCGACTAGAGACGTTTAAAGAGGGACACAAGTTTATCAGTTGAATTACTGTCAAGTGTTATCCTCTATTGCAAAGTTTATTTATTTATTTATTAAAGCTCAGACATTTGTGGATAATGTAAATATTACAAAAGAGAAATCATTTATTTTCCACGTTTGAATTTTCCACTTTCCCTGCATATGAGTACCTTGTCTTCAGTGTCACAAGACAGGAACAAAAGTCTCCTCGCGGGAATTGACCACGTGCTTAGTTATCGTTGAGCAACTTCTCATATTTTTTAAAAAGACATTTATCCATTATCTTTTGTATACAGGTTCATTCTTTGCACGCTTCCCATTTTTACTCCCATGTTTGGTTAACTCTGCGCTTCTTGTCACATCAATGATAATCATCTACATCTGGCTGTCAGAGACGTTGCCTCCAAACACACAAAGGTACCGCTTGTAGTATGTAGTTACATTCATATTTCATTGACAGTCCATGCATTGTGTTCAGTGCTCTTGTGCTGCCCTCAGTTTTCTTCTAGCGGTATTACCCACGAAATATGGCGCGCGCAAATGCTTCTAAGTTACATCGGGACACGGAAACTCGTGCGCAGACGTTATCATAAAGATGACTTTGTTTTCTCACAGATTTACGAAAGCCGCGGTATTTAGATGGGATGGAAGAATGATTCGCTCTAAATTCCTATCGGCTCCTAAAACCAGGAAGATTTATGCCATTCATTTTTCTGATCTCTAATTTTATTCGTTTTATTTTTCTTTTTTTCCAGGGCGGACTCTACTAAAAAGGAAAAGGTTAATGAAGAAAGCAAGTCATTTCTCTTGAATTCCCTTAAGAAGAAAAGTGAGGTTCTTAGTGTGGAATCGTGCGATGAAACAAAAAACAAAACTCCACTCAATGAGAAAAGCGGAAATAAAATGAAGAATACCGAGTCTGAAGTCTCCGACGAATGTGACAGAAAAATGAAGAGCAAAACGTCTGATGAAGATAGCATAGAAACTAAAGAAATGCCTGCATTATCTAACGGACAACACGACGTTAAAGATGATAGTCAAATATCAAAGTCATTGGATACAAATGATAAAGATTTACTTAGCATTGACGATCGTAGAAACAGCAAAGATAGTGAACAATGTACTGATAGTGACATCAGTGTTAAAGATGACTCAAAGGGAATATGTAAGACAGCGAACTGTATAGAGAAAGATGAGCCATCCTCTAGCGAATGCGAAGTAGAAGCACCGAATGATGAACAACAGAAGATAGGGAAGAAAGAGAACGAGGAATCATTAAGAACAGAGACTAAACGTAGTACAGATTTATCGCTCAAGACTGATGAAGATAAGCAAGAAATAAAGTCTCGAAAATGTGAAACGTGTCACACGAAGGACCTCAAAGAAATGCCTTCCAGCACTAGAGAAAACGCTTCAACTTCAGCTCGTTCGAGTACGAAGGACTCAAAGATGCTCAGCACCGCTACGAGTGTAAATTCAGCCACGAAGCGTTCGTGTTGTTCTTGCTGTGGTAGCACTAAAGACAGCAATTTATGGAGAATATTGAGGTGTGTTAAAAGTGTGTTCTACTATTTACTCTACTTTCAAACTGAATATTGCGTTTCTCCTTCCCCATTTATATAATATTTCATGCATAGACCTCTCTCGGTTTGAGCGTAATGTTTTCCCATTTCAGATAATGTGTCATTCCCTAGAGTATCATTTCTTTGTTTAATGGTTTCGAATCTTATCCTCAAGAGTAGGACATGAGGTCTGAAATGGAAAAACATTTTACCCAAGCTAAAGAGGACTGTTCACTTATATTTTTTCCAGGAATTTCAACGCGGTGCTTATATTAGCTGTATACTCACTTTATTCATTGTGTGTAATTGGAAGCGATGAACTGTTTAATATCTGGGGAGCTACAGATACAAGGCTTGGTAGGTAGACGATCCTTGCTGTTGCATAGTAGTAGGTTGGTACTTCTGCTTTGATCCGCCATTCACACTTTCCATGACATGTCCCCAAATACTACCATATCCTACTCTACCCTACCCTACAAGCTGTACCATGGCCTTGCCACTACTCATTCCATGTGACACTTGTTCAATAGGCACAACTTTATGATCGATACCATACGTTTGTCCATGTCCCACCCCTCCTTAGTATAATAAGGCTTCTCTTTAGGTGACACGTGATCTCGGGTGGATTAAGCTATAGGTTGACTCTTGTTTACTTGTTTTGTAAGGTGGTTTAGACTTCTCAACCGATGACTTAGGCACATCGATCCTCGTAGTTGGTATCGTGATGATCGTAGTACAACCAATGATTCTCCCTAAGGTAAAGATTGTAATAATAATAATAATAATAATAATAATAATAATAATAATAATAATAAATTCATTTATAAAGCGCAAATTCAACATACACTTTCAAATGCGCTACTAAAGCCTATAAAATTAAATATATATCTATTTTAAAAAATCTAAAACTACTAAAAAAGAAAATTATGAAAACAATAATAAATAATGATAATATTTGAATAGAAAACCCTATATAAACTACTTAATGTTAAACCTACTCTTAGCTGATTAAGAAAAAAAAAAGTATTGGTACACATATAATTCCGAAATTCAAACAAAAGCAAAAGCAAATAAATAAGTTTTTAGTTCCTTTTTGAACTTATTAATTGAGTCAAGGTCCCTTAGTTTGCAAGGTAGTGAGTTCCATAGTTTGGGTGCAGCAACAATAAATGCTCTATCTCCCAGAGTTGAAAAAGTCTTAACTGTTGGGTGCTGTAATAGTAACTGATTAGTTGATCTTAATTGCAGGTTTACAGTGCGTTTCACATAACTTTTGACGGTTGGTTTCCGAAGTTCGTTCGGAATTCCGATGTTCGTTCGGAAATTCCGAAGTTCACAACGAAAATATCTGAATAAATTGCGTTTTTCAAATCTAACAATTTTTCTTTTCTTTTTTTGTTCGTTTTTTTTTTTTTTTTTTTTTTTTTTTTTTTTTTTTTTTTTTTTTTTTTGTAGTTGTTGTTTATGCAATACGATACAGTAACCTTAGAAAACGAAGGAAGCGCAATAACCATTTACAGTTTTCTAACTTGGTGCCCTTGTTTTATCTTACTTATAGTGTTTTGTCTTCCTCTTTCTTAGCTCGAGAGGAAACTAGGCGCAATTCTGGTAAGTAAATTGTATACGAATCCTGTTTCAAGAGTGCTGAGCGTAAGGGCAAAATGTAAGAGTCCATAGCCCTTGCAGTCGTTTTGCTTGAAGCAATGTAATACGCCTGTAACAACCACGAACCACGGATGGTGTACGCTGCTACATCATATATGCCATACTATATCTTGATTGTATTATAAACGTAACTTAATTTAGACATTTTTTTTAAAAAATCAGAATTTTCAGGTTTGCGTGATGATCGTTATATTCTGTATTGTTACTCTACCTGCTCTGCGAATATTAGTGAAAAGGTGAGTTCGAAGGGCGCCTCTGATGGACGAGGATTTTGGACTTTGATAATAGTATCTTCTTCACCAGCATGTCAGCTTCCTCAAGATTGTTATTATTGTCGTATACCCATGTAGCTCTATTCACCACTGCTACTACCCCATTATCATCACCATCAGTATCATCATCGCTACCATAATCACTCAACATTATAAACGTTAATACCGCCTTCGAATTTTTTCTTAATCATCATCATCACTATCATCGTCATCATTACAACATCAATACATTATCATAAGTATTACTTCATGATTATTATAATAATCACCATTATCATCATATTCAACATTATTTAAATCAACAACATCATCATCATCGTTACACCAGCATCATCATCATCAGTCTTTACCGCCATCTTCACCCTCTACATCAACATCATTATCAACAATATCATCACCACCATCCTCACTGATCATATTTATACACAAGCTCATCTATCAGCAGAACTGTAGTATCAATAGTATCTACATAAATATTACCATCATCATCATCACCATTCATCATCATCACCACCACCATCACCACCACCATCATCACTATCACCATCATCACCACCACCATCATCATCACTATCACCATCATCACCACCATCATCACCATCACCACCACCATCATCACTATCACCATCATCACCACCATCACCATCATCATCATCACCACCATCATCATCACTATCACCACCATCACTATCACCATCATCATCACCATAATCACTATCATCTATAATTCTTTAGGAAACTTAGATCAGTCAATAAGAAAATCATTTCATAACTTTGAACCTTCTCGTTTCAGCCCGTCAGTTTTGTGGCCTGTTCTACTAATACATTTATCTGTCATGCGCATATCAGTCAGTGGTGCGTTCTTATCTTGCTTCTTACTCGTGAACAACTCCGTTAGGCAAGACCTTCTCTGCAGTGTCAATGGATTGGGAGTATCTCTCAGCAGTTTATTCAGGTCAGTATGTGACTTTTGTCTGCATCTCGTAGCAATGAAAACAATGAGAACTTATTCCCGGGGGTACTCCCCTATATTTGCTATACAGGTATGTGCCGCCCTATTTTTCGGCTTTTGGGTCTGGGTAGGGTGTCATTTTTTGAAATTTTGTCTGGGATAGGGTATCATTTTAGTCTGGGATAGGGTTAACGATTTGCTCATTTTTGTCTGGCGAATAGGGTACGCTTTCTGCCGGCACAAAAACAATAAAAGCGTTAGTAAATATTGATCGCAATCTATTGAAAAACCGTCTTTTCCGTCTCTTAGTCAGGGATAGGGTGTACAATTCTCAGTTTTAGTCTGGGATAGGGTATGTAAAATCAAAATTTTAGGTCTGGGATAGGGTCAGGGTTTTGAGGTCCTGGCGGCACACTCCTACCCAAGTTGGGGTGGTAGTACCCCCCCTTCCCCCCGGGAACTTATTATTCTTCTCAAATAAAAGAAAGGAGTTATTCTCAAGGAAATGACACGTGGTCTAGGAGGGGAAAACATAATTCATAATAAAGCCATCTACCCCTCGAATACCCTTGCAGCACGTTGGAATGCAGCTCAATTTGGAGGACATAATAGGTTTGCCAATTCTTTTGAGATGAAATTGAGCTGCTTTGACGTAACGTGCAAGGGGTCAATAAACCATTCTTGAACCACATCGTAATAGTCTATACTCCTTCCAATAACACTACAGGTTTCATTGTTTCTTGTGGGGTTTTTTTTTTTCAGAGCCTTTGCCCCATCCGTCGGTGGAAGTCTATTTGCATGGTCGATAAGCTCAGGCTACAAGATTGGGTTCCCATTCAACATGAATCTGGCCTTCATATTCTTCGGCTTTGTGTACCTAGTAGCATCAACTCTGAGCTGTTTTCTTTCTGATTCGTTGAACAAACCCAAAGGCGTAAAGAACAAGAAACTTGCTTGTATGTCATGTGACAATCTATTGGAAGCTAAAACCTGATTGGTTAAAGACTACTCTCACTCGACCCAGACCACTTTGATATTTATTTACAGAGAGCGGCTTGGGAACTAGATTGGATCAGTGGTGGTTTGGGGTAGCTTTCAAATGATTGAAATCTACTGAACAAATTAGAGCACAAAGATAACTGCTCAGGTTAGTAACTATAGTAGCATTACAGATCCGTGTCGTAAGTACGCTGTTTCACTTTTGTGCCAAATCATCTGCTTTCATCAACTTTAACTTTTTGTGTGTTGGTTTTCTTTTCTATGGCGCCGGCCATATTGGAAATTATCTTAAATAATTAGTTTACTTTTGAGGGGAAAAGAATCCTCGTACACAAGGTAGAATGCCGGGTACAGTGCCCGGTAAAGGTCTTCTTTGGTCTTCGTACGCTAACAAAAGTTCCACCTTTCCTTATTATCTTAAATAATTAGTTTACTTTTGAGGGGAAAAGAATCCTCGTACACAAGGTAGAATGCCGGGTACAGTGCCTGGTAAAGGTCTTCTTTGGTCTTCGTACGCTAACAAAAGTTCCACCTTTCCTTATATTCCTTAAACATGCTTCTCGACCACGAGCAACTAAAGCCACGCTATGATCACGTGAATATTATAAATAAATAGGAATCCGAAATCTAAAATCTAAAATTAGCAATCAAAATAAATTTATTTTTTATGTGAGAAGACGTATTACGATGATATAATTTGAAAAAATAGTATTTTTAGACGAACAGTAATTCATAATTAATTTATGACGTAATGACGTCACGTGATGCTTAACCAATCACCAAGCGTTTTCACTTGCCATTTTGTATTCAAATACGCATCATAAGACAGACAGTTAACGTCTCTCTTGGGTTTATTAAAATCGCAAGGGATTAAAACAAGTTTGAATATTAAAAATATTTCTCAAAAATATATTTTGAAGTTTGAAATACATAAATATTATTGATAACCGGAAAAAAATAAAATTCTTAATAAACTCTGTCCACTGATATGCTGCGGTGATATTTTTTTGTACATTGTAACTAACCATCAACCAAGCACATATCTCCATTATTCCACATTTTCCATTTCAATTAATGCCTTCTATTTGCCTTTCCGAGGATGAGGGAAAAAACAGTCCCACAATTCACTGGAATTCCAGCTCGGCTCAGTTTCACCATTGAGGATGATGATGTATTCAGTAATACTTCCCAGGAGCAGCTGGCGAAAACCCCATGTTTGTAGCAATAGGCAGTGTGCTGCATATAAGATTAGACGCATATCCTGTGAAAGTTGTTCTAGTCGGATTATAGACTTCAGGTAGTCGAGGATCCGGTGCTCTGCTGAGGGACATCCTAGTCTCGAAGGTATAAAGTACTTGCAGAGGTACTCCTTTGTTCGCGTAGTAACTTTGATAAGGATTGTCCGCTTGTCTCTGATAGAAGGTAGCCTGACTGTTCAGGTCGATGAACTCTTGTTGCTTGCTGAGTGAATGTTGACTTCCAAGAGACATCGGTTTGGGAATGATTTTTCTGTAGAATGATTTACTCTTTCCAGGATGCACGCACGCGTCTCTCTTCTCTTCCCCAAGTATCGGTTGACATCTTGGGTCAGTCTTGATGGGACACTTCTCATGAACATCCTTGCCTGTATTTTCTTTGAGGAGAAAACTCTCTGCAGGATAAACTTTTGGAACTCTGTTCTCATCGACTCTTGTTTCGTTATTTAAATCGATAATTTTTTGGTTTGAAAAATTCGAAGGGTGAATGCTGTAAGAGCTAAGTATCACGGGAAGGCTCTTCATAGAAACACTTTCCACCAGCACTTCATTTTGATTTCCAACCACATGTCTCATTCCACCGTCTTTTTCCATACATGACGGGTCTTCATTTCTAGTGCTGTTCACTTGACTCAATCTTTGCAATGCAGAACCTCTTTCTTTCCTGGCTTCAAACTTCTCTATGTATTTTGTACGATACAAGGAGTTACGAGGATGTAATCCATTTGCCACCAGAGGTTTTGCAAGTTCTTCGTGACCAACATTTATAACTGTCGTTCGGATCCCCATTGATATTTTGTCCTCGGGTCTTTCTTTCGAGGTTTCGTGGTTCGCTCTTTGTTCCTGGAAAATCTTCGATTCAAATCGCGGGCTTCTTTCGTTGCAGAATTCTTTCTTGGTATTGTCTCGCAAAGGAGTTAAGCTAGAAATGCTTGAATGAAGTTTCTTGTTTTGATGATGTCCAGAATTATTGGGCAATTTCGTAGGTTTTGTAACCTCTCCGCTTAATCGATGCACAGATTTCAAGTTTCTTTCCGATTGGTCCACAGATTTTAAAATGTCACTTGAATGGTTCATAGACTTTAATCTTTTATCTGATTGGTTCAAAGATTCCAAGGATTCTTTTGATTGGCCCATAGATTTTAAAATCACATTTGAATGACTGACGGACCTTAATCTTTTATCTGATTGGTCCAAAGATTTCAAAGAGTCTTTCGATTGGTTAATTGATGAAAACACATTACTTGATTGGTCTAAAGATTTCACTCCTTCATTTAATTGGTTCATCAATCTCCCTTTTTTTACCACCAAACCCGGTCTATCGTCCACAGGTCGTTTTTTCCCAAGATAAGCTAGTTTTTCTGGTGATTTCTTGAGCAAACTGTCACTCGTATCTTTGTTCGACGACAATGTTTCCTTTTCAGCTCCAAATTTTAAAACAGGCATCGAGACCGAGTTAACGAAATTCAACAGCTTTGAAATCTGAGGTTTTGAGGTGTTTTCTGTTCTATATTCTCCATTTAATGTAAACTCTTTCACGTTGTCAATATCCACATTCCCTTGAGAGCTATTATATTCCTTCGCGTTTGAGCTCATTACTTTTTTATTCTGTTGTTCTTGCACCTTTTCTGATGGCCGTGCGTCAACTGCGTCTCGCGAATTTCTTTCCTCCACATCGTCTTCCATGCTGTTACATTCTTCATTTCCTATGGCGATTCTTTCATCACAAGCGGAAATAAAGTCATTTAATTGGGTTTCTTTGACGGTGTTTTCATGTACCAGCTTCCCCTCAGTAAGGGAGATAGCTTTATCTTTATTAACGTCTTGGATATCGATAGTTTTTCTCGTTAGTTCTGAAGAATTATCGGAGGGACTATTATCATCCCAACCATCACCATTGCGCATTTGATCAAAATAGTTCTCGTTTTTTCCTACGAAAGTTTCATTATTGTCAACACACTTTGAGTCTTTATTTGCCTGTGCCAACTTGCCTTCTTCAGCCAAGCAGTTTTCTTCGTTTTTCAAGCTGTTCGTTGTTGTTTCTGACGCGATTCTTTCACATTTGTCTTTAGAATAGCCTTCTTCGTTTTTATCAGAAAAACACTCCACATTTTCTTCGCATTCCAAAGACGACAACATTCTTGTCGTATTTTCTTGTTTATCTGAAGGAAGTGGCGCTTCTTTAATGCTTCTAACATCAGAGACTTTGCAAAGAATGTCTTCCTCGGCGTCATCTCCAACGATTCCTTGTACCCACACATCACTGCTGTTGGATTTACCACCAGAATTTTCACTTGTTATAAACTGACTCTTATCCACAGTAATACTTTGCAACGGACTCCTTGAATACAACAAGGAATCTAGTCCAGTTTTCTCTGCTTCGTATGACGATGTTTGACCAACTCTTCCCCGAGTGTCTGTCGAAGCATTGTGCACAGGTTCAAAGACAACGTTCACTTCTTCAGAATTGGTGGATATTTTCGAAGAAGAAGAAGGAAAGTTGGTGCTGGTTATCAGACAGCTGGTAGAAGGTAGAGATGGAAGTACATCTGTTACGATGATGGACGAAGGGTTGACGTGGAAAACTTGTATACCATCATCATTATCTTCTACAAAAAGAAGTCATAAGAATGTAACAAAAGTACCCAACTTTAAGGAAATAATAATAATTATTATTATTATTATTATTAGACGAAGAAAATCAATTCGCATAACACATATGCAAGCCATGCTATTCACGTGACTCTCAATGGCTTCCATTACTTGACTTGACATTGTGTTCAGTTTTCGTTCATTTTGATTGGTCCACGTAAGCAAATGATAAGGAATTACACATAACCAATGAATTCCTGCAAATTTAGCAGGAACTTTCGCGCCAAAACGCACACGTTCGCTTTGGGTCTTTCTCGACTTTTTATTCAACCTAATAGTGCTTATGACGTCAATCGTATAGAAAAACGACTTCCGGATCCAAATCGAAAAGTAGTTTTTCTTCGAATTCATGACAGGATTTGTTGTCCAAAATTCTAATTTTTTCAGGTGTAGGTTCAATTATTTTGAACTTTTTTTGCTTCACTTAAGCGGTTTTTATGTGCAGATGGACCCGAAAATACGTCCCAATTTCATAACTCTATACAGATATTTAAATTACATACCTTCGTTGCTCAAGTAAGTCATAGCCAACGGTGCCTCTGTCTCTCTACTTTCATCAGCCATTTGGTCATTTTCATAGTCGATACTATTTACATCACTGCCGTAAATCGAATCATGAAGGACTTTCCTAAATAGAACATATCAATAAATAAACATATATACAAACCAATAAACAATCAAACATATACATGGAACTTGGTGGGTCTGTATTGAGAAAATATTCGCTCTTGGACGTGAGGATGGTCTTGGACGTCGTGATTTTAAGCGTATTTTGGGGTGCAATTTACGTTATAACCGACGTGTTCTAGGAAAACAACATCTTTTTCCATTGGGAAATAAAATTTCTTGTCATGCAAAAATACATCGTATTATCATGCTCTCCAACATGGTCGCCACCAACATCCCACCCCCCTCCCCCACTTTCTTATTTTCAGTGTCCGTAAGCGATGTTTTGCTACTGACCATTTTAGGCCATTTTCCCGGAATCCCCTTGCGAATGGATTGTTGTCAATCTTGAGTTTTGTAATCTGAAATACAAAAATAAAAAATAAAAAAATAAAAAATCCAAGAATAATAAGGTTAAGAAAGATGAAAGAGTATCGTTTTAAAACTAATAAACTATTAAAGAGTCCTTTGTAGAGTCGCAGTGACGTAGGGGTCAGCGCTTCAGTTCTTGTGCGGAAGGTCCCAGGTTTGATGTCTGGCCAAGGCATCAAAATATCAGGTGTGACGTAACCTGGCTCTCTACATTGAGGACTGTGAATCCCTCGTGCATGTGAATGACTACAATAAACAGCGGTTCCGTCTAAAAGAGCAAACTCTCTTATGGGGCTAAATAGACGCCTTCTTGGAAATGATACGTCCCCTAAAACAGTCCCACAATGCACTGCAGTGCCAACTCGATCCAGTCTTTTCCTAAACCTCGGAATGGCTAATATACTAGGCGTGTGGGCAATTAAAAGCACAGAGCTTACCTCTTTGTTCATGTATGCAGTGACAGTAATAAACTCAGTTTCTCTAAACATGAACGCTACACCCTTTTCCCAGCTTTGGTTATAGTAGTCGTGGTAAGTTACGATACTAAGTCGCGGGACATAACGACCCATGGACTCTAGAAGGATCTGAAAAAAATGTAATAAAATACTTTAAAATTTCCGATTGTTTAATGAATCTTCAGTTCCTTATAGAGCGTTTTCACTCACGTGAGAAGGCAGCCATAAACAATAGAAACTTTCGGCACAGTATTTGCATAAAAATAGAGTTCAATTCCCGGAGGATAGAAAATGTATTGTTTTGGTATCCCATAATGGCCGCTGTGACGTCACGTGAAAACGCTCTATTGTGGCGCGCGGAAGGGTGATACGAAGAACATTCGAATTCTTGGGGTTCATACGACGTCTTGGCCGCCATGTTGTTTGACTTAAACTAAAGATATGGCCATGCCTGCCATGTATTTTGTCTGTTTACACTATGCCTAATAAACCCATTCTGAAATAGTGAACATGGTGCATTGTGGTCTAGCTTGGGTTGTTATGTCTCATATGGTAATGGTTGTACACACAAGCTATACCAGAATGCACGTTAATTATAACAAGTTTATACTCACATGTTCAGAGGACACTGTGTGCGGGATAGCAAACATGATGCATTGTGGTCTAGCTTGAGTACAAACCTCTTCAGATGTTTATCATGCCTTATATGGTGGTGTTTATACCCAAGCTAAACCAGAATGCATCCTGCTTATCGAACTCAGAAAAGGCATATTTAGTTCCAACAGGTTGACATGACCAAATGCGACCGTGTGGGATAGCAAACATGATGCATTGTGGTCTAGCTTGGGTACAAACCTCTTCAGATGTTTATCATGCCTTATATGGTGGTGTTTATACCCAAGCTAGACCAGAATGCATTCTGCTTATCTTTAGTTCAGGCTTAGTTAATAGAGAGATTATTAACTATGGTTCAGGCAAGTTTACTTACATGCCCACCAAAGGGAACTTTGTGGTAGTTGTTGGTCAACTTGACCTTATTAAACGACATGGGCTGCGCACAGACTTCTTTACCGCTGCAAGGACACACCGGGTGTACAAACATCCCCACAGGGGTGGGGGAAAGTAACCGTGAGTCGACAATCTGCCAGTGATTTTCTCTTTCGTTGTATTTGTATCTTCGATCATCAACCAAGGTAATGTCCAGGATGACCATATACGTCTCGTCTGGATGCAGGCCTTTGATTGACACTTCTAGAAATGGAAACATGCGCCTTTGGGTGGGAGAGGAGAAATATGGATTAGTAGGGAACCATCTTACAGCGCGACGCGCAAAATTATTGCTCGGTTTCACTACACTTCATTTCCTGTCTAGTTTGTAATCATGGTTCATCAGCTGAATCGCAAGTTTTTAAATGGGATTCTTTCTGGTTGACAGCACATGGTGGTCAGTGTTTGACCACCACCATTTGGAGCAGATAATGAGATTCAAAGAGTTTTATCAGATGAGTGAAAGCCAGCAATAACCGGCAATAACACCTTCCTGGTTTTCGCATACTTCAGTGGGATGAATGGGCTTTTTGGTACATTAACCGGCACATTTCGATGCGCGAAGCTGGCTGGTTTTACCAGTGAATAAGGCGTGTCAAAGCTTGTTTGGCAGCAAAAACCACGTGCATAGAAGTATGCTAATAGTTCAATGTCGTCATACTTTTGAACGTTTTGCAAGAGGGAAATTTGTGGAAGGGGAGCAAAACATTTCACGACTTTCACTAACACTAACTATAGTGCATGCATAAAAATGACTGAAAGTACAAATACATTATTCTCTGAAATCCTTAGTGTGATTGAGATCAACAATTTTTACATGACCCTGTAATAAGTCCGACCCCGAGTCGAATCCGACCATCTGTCAAGACAAGACCTTTACCTATCTATGGTCGGGGTCTCAAGTATACAGACCGCATTCGCCGATTGAAATTTGATAACCTTTCCATGACCTTAGCTGCAACCTTAGATTATCTACCACCTCTTAGCGTGGCATTTGTTTTGACTATGGTAATGTTTTAGGCCCCGTCCACACGTGTCCGCGAATTTTTGTGTCCGTATCTGCAAATTTAACGAAAACGGATACGTGTGGACGGTGAAACGATTCGAATACGCTGCGTGTGGACGCAAACATTTTCGTATCCGCAAAAAATAATTTGCGAATACAAAAATCTCCGGATACGTGTGGACGGGGCCTTAAGGTGGCTCGACCCCCTCACGCTTGACCGCTACCTTCCACTTTTGGAACGCTAGTGCATAAACGTCTTTCATCCGATTGCAAATCTTTTTTGCACATAAGTCACATAAAGATTGAATTAATATTTGATGCAATTTTTAGTGAGATCGGACGTCATAACACGTGATTAT